TGACAAAACCGACCCGCATAACCCCTAATTCTAGGACTCTAATAATTTTGATAATAAGGTGGAAAGTATACTCTATTGGGACGTAGTTCCCTGTTCAATTGCAGATCACGAGCTCAACATTACTATGCTAAGCATAAACAAACCCAAAACAAAGCCTCTCTTCAAGACATTCCGGTGTCTAAAAAATTACTCCCCTGATATCTTTTCTGAGGCATTAATCAACAACTCAAATGTACTTAATAGTATAATAAACACAGATAACGTCGATTTGCAGGTTGAGATTCTAACAAAAGTCTTTCATGAATGCTTATATAGTTGTGCACCCATTGTAACAAGAAACATAACCCGCCCCTAAGCTTCCTTTCTAACAAATGACAACAAAGAGGCAATGCAAATCAGAAATCAAATACAAAAAGATCTAAAAATGAATAGCTATGATATGACTCTGTAAACGTTATAAAGTAGAAGAGAAACGTGTCAGATCTCTCATCAATATAAGTAAAAAAGACTTTTACAAAAAACAATTTAATGACTCTAGACATGATACAGCAGCAACATGGAAAGTGATAAGAAGCATGATACCAAATGAAAAGAGTACCTCAGAAAGTTATGAAAATATTACGGAGTTGAAAAACAAAGCGGAACACTTTAATAACTATTTTGATAATGTTGGGAAAAATACATATGAGAAAACACAAGAAAACATCAACTCAGTAAACATGAGTAATTACTTAAACGTCAATTTTTCCAATGTAAACACAAGAGAGGACTACAAGATAAATCCTGTCGATTGTGCTACCATAGTTCTTACCATAAAGAGCCTAAGAAACTCTGGCTCTTATGGTACAGATGGCATACCATTTCAATTCATCAAAGATGTTCTTCCCATGATTGTATCTAATATTCTAGCTATTATGAACACTTCCATTGTTAATAAAAAGTTTCCTGACTCTTGGAAAAAAATCACATACAATACCTCTGCACAAAAAGGGGGACAGAGAAGATGTGACAAACTATAGTCTCACTTCCCTATTACCCATACTTTCTAAAATATTAGAAAAAAATATTGCATGCCAATTTATGTCATATTTAGAGTCAAACAGACTATTAGCTATTAACCAAAATGGTTTCAGACCGAAACTCTCGACGGAAACTGCACTCCTCAAAGTTACGAATAGTATTAATAATAATAATATAGATATGAAAAAAATCTCTCTGCTTGTATTATTAGACTTATCAAAAGCCTTCGACAGTGAAAACCATGAAAGTCTTATAAGTAAATGTTCTAACCTAAATATTGATCCGAGCTGGTTTAGATAGCGTCCATCTAATCGCTAACAGTCTATCCGTCTTAACAACATTATCTCTTTGCCAAAAAATGCATCATTTGGTGTTCCACAGGTATCAGTGCTTGGTCCTATCCTCTTCTCCATTTATGTAAATGATCTATCTTCTTTCATTTCTGACTGTCTTGTCAGATGACACTCAACTACTCCTCAGTGGTGATATTAATAAGCTCCCAGAGCTAACCTTAACAGCAGAAAACAGTCTGTCAAAAATTAAAACCTATTTTCAAGAAATCGGTCTGTTAATTAACGAAAGTGAAACTCAGTGCATGTTTATTGTCTCAAGGTTCCATATAGCACAAATTCCAGAAAACACAATAATTAATTTTTGCGGCAATATCATTACACCTAGCAAAGCAGTCAAAAACCTAAGAATTCACTTTGATAACTACATGTTGTTTGCTTCCCATATAGATAAAGTATGCAAAAAGGTTACAGGAACATTAATGTACTTATCACATATAAAAGACAATTTTGAGACTACCACTTGAATAACTGTTGTTGACTCTCAAGCCCTAAGTCACATTAATTACTGCACAACTGTTTGGGGAGCTACCACAAAGACTCAGATAAACAGAATACAGAAGCTTATTAATTTTGCAAATCGAGTTGCCCTGGAAGGAATAAGAAAATATGACATCACACCAGCTCTCAAAAAAACTTGGGTGGCTTTGGACAGAAAACAAGGTCGCTTATGCTTTTTATGTTTTTGTATACAGAAATTTGAACCATCATTATTCTAACTGGCTATTTGATTTAAGAACAATCAGGGATATAAGGGGAACCCACACAAGACAGAGTAGTGAACTCTTTATTCAGAGAACAAACACAGGAGCAGGTTCAAAGATGATCACTATTAAAGGGCCAACACTCTGGAACAATATTCCAGAACATCTTAAAAATGCATCCTCCTTTACAGCTTTTAAAGACAAACTATATACTTTTCTTTTGGACAATTAGTTGCTGCTCACACATTAACTATGCTTAATGATTTAATGCAATTTCCCTTGACACTAACCTCTCTATATGTAAACTGCTATCGCCTTCTCTGTTCTCTAAGTTAAGAACTAATTATAGCTCATTGTAAGGAAAACAAATATGGTGATGATGCCGATTATAATGATTCTGTATCGAATGTTATTATCACTACTTTATTATTAACATTATTGTTAACATTTTTATTACAGTATTATTATTTTCTAGGAATGCTACAATTCATTTAAATGTATGTATTACCCTCTTACTTAATAGTTCAGTTACATGTCTACTTATAAGTTACTCCTAAATTGTAGAAGAATAACAATTGTACAAAAATGGAAATAAATGCTCCTTTGCTGGTTTGTTTGTTTGTTTGTTTGTTTGTGGAAAGAAAATAACAAATTAGGGTATTCCCAGTCCCTCGTTCCGCTTATTTAGTCTATTTTTACGACACGCAGGGGAATACGGAGGAGGTGCTTGATGAGGGCCAGTGGAAATTCTCCCATCTTTTAGCACGGTAAGCTGAGGCAGGTGGGTGTAGGGGGCTTTCCATGAGATTAAACAGAAGGTAAACCAGCTACACCTGTTGGGCCTCATGGCAAAAGATCCTTGGCTACTTACTCTCTGGCTGACACAAGTAGTGTGATAGGGGGATATTGTGATAGCCCTTTTGTCCCCAAGAAGCTGAGAGGAGAGATCGAGGTAAATTAGCTGCTGAGGGACGCGTATGCTTTGAATCAGCCACCCTCTTACAAGGGTGATTTTGAGCATTTATATATATATATATATATATATATATATATATATATATATATATATATATATATATATATATATATATATATATATATATATATATATATATTTATTTATTTTTATTTTATATTTTATTTTTTTTTGCTTTACGTGTGTGTGTGTACGCATTTGAAACTTATATGTGTATATATAAAGTATATTCAAGCAAATTCGATAGCTACAATGCATAGTTTAAACACATTAGAAATTAAGAAATAAAAAATTGCTGAAAACAGGGGAATGTATTTGATTAGAAAGAAACATCCTTTCTAAACCACCAAATTCAGTCATTAGAGACCATAACTTATTACGTAGTCACCCGGTATAGGACCAAAAAAAATATGTACATATTTGAGTTTTTGGCCAGTTCTTCAGTCCAAGAACTTTCTCCAGGAGGGTTGGAGTCTCTATTTGTCCTTTTGTGTTCTTGATTTGTAAAAATATCGTCTTATTTGTGCAATGCAGAGTTAGTATCGCCTGAGAGTGTCATGGTGTAAGTATAACTACGAGTTCTACTTAGTGTGTCATTTTCATTTATATTTGTTTTTGTGGTTGTAATTGTAACGATATAACTCAGATGATTGCGTCATTTGTCTTCTTTTGATTCATCGTGGGCGTGATGTTGACAATATTTATTGCCGAACCGTCACAATCTTAAATGAAAATAAGCATATACATACATGTTCAAATCAGACAGACAGATAGACAGAAAGACAGACAGATATATGAGAAAAAAGGGATGAAAAAAAAATGCTGCATCTTACCCTTAATTGTCAAGTCTTCAGTTATGTCAAACACAAAGGAATTTCTTATTTGGGGAAAAACATGAAAAGATGACATTTTTAGGTTGGTCTTTTTTTTCATTTATATTTTATTTTTTTACTGTTTCATTTCACATTCCAGTGAATGGAAAATTGAGAGACTCGTCATCCATTTTTTCTGCTCAGTTTTAACTGCTAGAATATAATGCAATATTAGATTAGGATACATTTGGTTAGGTTTGTTAGATAAGTTCATGCCACTTAGGAAAGAATTTTTAGTTTTGGATATATTGACAACTATCAACTCTTCGGGAATGTCCACTGAATAGCATTTTTTTTATTTTTTCCAAACCCATTTAAAAGTTAATACGAGAAATTCTTTCCCTAAGTTTTAATCTATTACAAATGTAAGAGAAAAATATACAGACAAAGAATAGATGAAGATAAGATAGAATTTTAAGACAGAATTAATTCCAATATTAAAGGTGATAAATACTACATCAAAAGCTTCCAACACGTGTGATCCAATATTAAAAGTGATAAATACAGCATCAAAAGCTTCCAACACATGTGATCCAATATTAAAAGTGATAAATACAGCATCAAAAGCTTCCAACACGTGTGATCCAATATTAAAAGTGATAAATACAGCATCAAAAGCTTCCAACACGTATGATCCAATATTGAAAGTTATAAATACTACATCAAAAGCTTCCAACACGTGTGATCCAATATTAAAAGTGATAAATACTACATAAAAAAAAAACTTCCAGCACGTGTGATCCAATACTAAAAGTGATAAATATAACATCAAAAGCTTCCAACACGTGTTATCCAATATCAAAAGTGATAAATATAACATCAAAAGCTTCCAGCACGTGTGATTCACCTATTTAGCTTCTAAAATCTATTGATGCAGAAAAATTATAGTGATTATTAAATCATAATATATAAACAGATAACTACATCGTTTTATTCCTTTGTATTAATTGCCTTAATTAAATTGATTTTACGTCAAGGATTCCCTTTTCTATTAAGGGCTAGGATGGTGCTTTCTTACGAAGGACAATAGTTTTGTGCAAGTGCAACCGTTACTCTGAGTGAACTCCCTTTCTTACTTCAGACTGTGGTGGGCCTTGAACCCACGATCTGACAAATCAAAGTCGCGAGCGTTACCACTCTGCCCAACGATCAACCT